ACCTAGAGGTACAAAGCTACGCCACAAGTGAACGGCGCCATTCTGATTTAGTTCAACCAGAACCCCGCAGAACTCCACTGCAAGCTGGGTCTGATGCCCACCCAGCATGGCAATATCTGGCTGGTATGTTCAGGCGTCCATTCGACAGAAGCGAAGAACAACGGACTGTCGTTTCATTTCATCCGACACAACAATTCAAACCAGCTGTGTTGTGCACGCAGAATCCTTACGTCCTACAGAACGTATGCTTGTTGGGGCCAAATCTTCGTTCAAAAGAACGATAACTGTGTGCAGCTTTCCCTTCCCAGTTTAGACCAGAGTCAAAAGGCGACCGACCATTCATTGACGACTGGCCAAAGGTCTATGGAGTACGTGGGTCGACAGCGAACGCAATTCTTTGTATCAGCGTTTAGACAGTTGGAGTGAATGCCGAAAGACGGTCTGTCGCCAGTCGGACAGTTCGACTGACTCATTTGACCGCATCGTGTAACCATAATTCAGATGTGAAAAGTCCTGCTGTAGAATTTACCCTGATTAAGACGTATCAGCTGAGTCTGGCGATATTCAATCGCCTAGCTCGCTTGCACACACAGTGGTGTATGGGAATTCCAGCAGCTTCGCTTGGATAACCTGCCTTAACAAGTTGAAAGCTGTAAATAGCTATATTGAACTATGGCAGGAAACCTATGGATTTGAGAGGCAAAATCGGCGACGCTAAATGAGCGAGTCGGAGAAGTCACCTTGCTTTGTCCACCTGTTCGGTTTAGTCGAATTAGTAGCGATCGATCGATCGTTCAGCTGCAGCACCCTTTCGGCGCCTAATTGCCATGCCAAACGAAGGAGGCACGAGGGCTGGGATACTACCAGGTTGACCAAGCCTAGACAGCGTAACTCGAGAGCCAGAGGTCGGGTTCGAACCACGGAACTTCCGGTCAGTAAATTCGCGTTCTAATCACTTGGTCCATCTCACCCTAGTAGTGAGGAAGCCAGTTGTGAATGCCTTTGCACAAGATCAGAAGCTGACCACACGAACAGAGAAATCAAACACCGATTGCACATAAGTTGATCCGCAGCACGGTTTAGCGAACACCACAAATAATGTGATCCTCGGATTGGACTTACCCTGACTGACCAGCGAAGAGATGTGTTCCAAGTAGGCCGTGGGGTTTTGCGGACATGAATTCTCAACATCCGAAAACCAATAATGCTTTCTCGAACGCAACGAAGCAGCAAACTGACAAGAGGTAAAACGGAACGGCATGACAATGAAATTAGGCGGTCGCCGAATTGCGGAATCGAAAAAAAAAACGCACTAGGGTTCGTTGGTGTGGAAGGTGTGGTCGGTCTCTCAGAAGTACAGCCATCAGCCAAGATTTTGTTCTGTGAACGTACAACGAGCGGGCGGAGATAGCACACTGTCGACCTCCATATTAGGAAGCCACCTATCATGCTTGTGTGTGACTTTCGCTCAAGGTTTCCATTAAAAAGTTGCCCTCAATAGTATGCATTCCTCAGGTAAAACAAGCATGCATAGCAGTAGCAGAACAGTACCTTGGTCTTCAAGGAAATTAAGCTCAACCAAAACTGCAGTCTTGGTTAACATGCATATATGCCATATCTAAGCAACCGAATATAGAGAAGTGTATGAAACGCATGAAACGTAAACAGACAGAGGAATATCATAAACGAGTGATTCAGTTGAGTCTCCCGTGAAAAACAAATTGATTTGCGAATGAGTGTGTTTGTGTAAATAGACATCCCTTTGTGACGCAGTTCGTGAACTAGTTCAACCACATATGTCAAATTTACCGAGCGAATCACAATTTCCTTGTGTCTTTTTCGATGTGAAAAAGGTAGGAACTGAAAAAGCCGTCTGTTCCGAGGAGGACTAAAATCTGGATCCAATCCTTACTAGAGAGAGAAAATCAAAAGAAGACTTCGTCTGCGAATGCGTACAATATAAGAACAGCTGAACGCTAGAATTGTCTCGCCCACTCCCCTCATAAGTGAAGTTAGAGAATGCTCTGAAGTGGATGATAATTTTGGGATTGTGGCAACGGAACCCTCAAAGAAGGGTTGGTATGACCATAATAATAGGAATCCAACCTAACAATCAACCTATGGAGTTATGACTGACCACATACAAGCTCTGCATGTCACAGGTTCATCTAACAATGAGAAAGGAATTAATAAACGCGCGGTCAAGTAACGCCCAGGTTGCAGTAACATTTTGTCGGCGCACCTAGTAATTGCGGGGCGAGATGGCCCAAGTGGTTAGAGCGCGAATTTACTGACTGGAAGGTCCGTGGTTCGAATCCGACCTCCGCCTCTCGACTTCCCCTGTCTAGGCTTGGGCAACTTGGCAGTATCCAAGCCCTCGTGGTTCCTTGGGGTGGCATGGCAGCTAGGCACCGGAAGGGTGCTACAGCTGAACGCTTTTTCGTTCTACGCCAGAGACGTCATTCGAGGACATCATATCTTCCAAACAGCTGCATTCGATGGCTAGGTCTGATTCGCATCTTGCAAGTTGACAACTGCCCTCCACTTATACAGCTCGCTTACAACGAACGTTTGAACGATGAAAACTGCAACCGATATGGACCCTACTCAAACACAAGGAATTCACAACATGTATGCGTACTTACCTCAGCTTGTGTTCTAAATTCCCACTGACGTGTGGGACCCAGAGGACCATGGTCACTGATACTCGAAGGTGGCGCCCAATTGTTGACGTCAATACCACCGGGCATCCAGAGTAATAAGTTCAAATGTACATTGGGCACAGTACTGCAGCTATGAGGGAACATAACACAGAAAACAACGCATGTCGGCGACCATAGGACCCAGAAGATAAATAAAGAATTGGTCAATAAAATAGTCCGCTCGACCTGCGACTTACATCATCAAACAACACTGTGAAATCAAAAAGCTCCCCGGAAATCAGAGTATAGTTAGAGGACAAAGCCTTGCGCGATACTTACCACCGTTACGGGCTTGTATTCGAGAGGTAGTTGTAATAGGAGGAACAGGAACTTGAGGCTGAAGTGGCCAAAAAGTCACAACATAGTTTTGGAGACTGAGTGCGGATAAATAGATACCAAGACGACCCACGGCCCAAAAATGTTTGGTAGTCGATGCCAGATTAAGCAAAGCTGTCGCAGGTAGTTTGCCCGTTATCTACTTCTGACCCTAGAGAGGTGAGTACTCCTCCATCCAGACATTGAGATATCAATAAGCTCAAAATACGTTCTGTTCTCCAAAGTCACGTGTACACGGTGGTTCCCCCTTGGAAGTCTATCAGTCCCCAAATGAAGAAAGCGGTACTCCTCGGGTCATGCGAGGAATCTGGGTCGCACACTGTTGCAATTCCTCCCCCAAGCTGGAATTAGGTCTTCGGTTGTTCGAGTAGTTGAACTGTTTCCATCGGAGGGTTGTCCTGTAGAGATGTTCTTTTTGAATAGTGTCAGCGGCGGAAGGCTTCAATCCCTATTGACTGCGGCGTTCAGATTTTCGGGGTTATCTGTTCCTCTACGGTATAATTGTGGGTAGTTCTAGTCAGTCTGAAATGCACCATTACGCTCCTGCTTCAAAAGGTTGAAACTGGGAAGATGTATTTAAAAACGCGTGAACACCACATTCGTCAGATCCATCAAATCGAATATAGCGGACCGTTGTCAGTTTCGCCTTCATACATTTTAGCAGACTTTAGATGCATATTATTAAGGTGTTCAAACACTCCATGGCCAATAGCTTATCCTTAGAAAGGAGCAGGGTGTTATCGGCGTGGCAAGTCGTCTTGAAATGAGACCACTTAATCGACTTGCTATGAGTTATTCGCTAATGGGCCAAACCTTGTCGATTTATCTGCACTTCAAATGTTGGACAGGTCGAGATGGCCCAGTTGTTAGAGCGCGAATTTACTAACCGAGAGGTCCGTGGTTCGAACTCAAGCTCTACATCCCTACTTCTGCCCAAGCTTGGTCAACCTGGCAGTATCTCAACTCTCGTGCTTCCTTCGGGTGGCATGGTAACTAGGCACCAGAAGGGTACCACAGCTGAAAGACCAAACGATGGAGTTTAAGACCGACATTTCAGTATACTTGATTTAAGAAACAGCAATCGTTCGCTCTTTGAAATCCAGGTATGCACAGCGGGGATATTAGTGGCGTGGGATAAGAAGCTATAAAATTCGATTCGCTAAAACCTCAAGCAATAGAAAGAGTGGACATCACATTCAGCAGAAAACTTACCTTTCGTCACTGCACCTGAGCTGATCTATTGCTCGGCGTATGGTATCATCAGTGTCAGTATCGTCGGTTTCCAAATAAACAAAAGAAACGTCTCTATAGCCCAAACGTTCACGGGCAAGGATCTCAAAAATGTAGTTGACTAGTCGATGCACTGGATCATCGGTGGTTGCCAGCTTCAGTGAGAAAGGTTTGTTGCCTAAATACAGACTTCGACTCCAATTTAAGGTTTCTAGTGGAGGAAATTGAATGTAAGATTGAAATAGACTCACCTGGGGAACTCAGGCAAGGGGCGGTTTTACATTCCAGTATTACCGTGAGTAGCAGTAGAACAATGAAAATACCAGTTAGGAAAGATCGGACTTCATCCGCTTCATAATGGGCTGAGTCACGAAGCGACATTGGCCAAGAATGAGATTGCAGTGTACTGTTCTACTAGCTCCCTTGTTTCATCTGTGAAGGACAGGCGGCAGAGTGAACGGTCAAATTACCTCAACGGCTGATGCAAACGCTCTGAGTAATGGGTTGAGGTAAAGTCAGAAGGTTAACAAGAATACTGCGTGCAGCACCAAACGTTCATCCAGCTGGCATGCGGACTAATGTGCAAAGAAACTGTGGCAGCCAAACCTTAACACGGCAATACCTGGATAATCCTTGGTCTGCCTAACGATATTTCGTTATGTAATATGTACACAAGTATATTAAATTATGATCATCGAGATGCGGTAGTATAATACAAGTATACCGTATTACATACTAAATTATACACTACTCTGTAACATACTGCAATATGGTATAATATATAGCACAATATATAAAAATGTTGTGGCACAAGAACACCAGTAGGGTACCAATACGGTAATACGGTGGAGGAAGTGTGACAGCATACTGGAGCTTCAAAAAGCTGACAGATAAGCCAGAAGCTTGGATGGTTAACAGGTGTTTAGTGTAAGCCTTCATTGGTATGTACCACCACCTCCGGACCGACTAATCGTTAGCAACAGATCTCCGAGCGTTTATCTGCAGTTCATTTTGATAACCGTGAGTCATGGTCCGAGTTACTGTGGCAAGCAGCAGCAGGGGGTGTGGTATAAGGAACGTACAAGAAAGAACAAAACGGTGCGTTGTTGCTCAGAGAGCAGATACAGCGGTTCCACAAACTGCACAACACCCCAGGTCGACGATTACATTCAAGCATTAAGGTGGCAGCCATCTGATACCTCAGTCTGGACACGATGCTGAGTTACAGTTAAGACCAGTATTGTGTTCTCCATACTTCCAGATCACGCGTTTCACTGTGGCATTTCGCAGCTAGGAACCATTTCAAGGGAGAAAGCAGAGCAAAATAACCGAGGCGTTAGATGAGTTGCTTCTAAAGAAAGCTCTCTCTTCTCCTATAATATGAATAGTAAAAAAACAAGCCACTTTTGTCTTCAGAACATGGTGCTGACTTCAGACGAGGAACCACTTTGTATACCCCACCTACTGATGGGCCAGTCACATCGATCTCCGAGACGCCTATGCTAGGGAAAGGCACAGCGCGCTTCAGTGGTCCCAGTATTTATGGCGTCCGCAATTACTGCCGCCTGAAGTGATACAACTACACAGGCTGGTAAATTCATCACCATTTCCACGAATAACTGTGGTGGCTTAGTTGGAGTTCTCCTATAATAGTTTACATTTTGATTGTACAAACTGCAACAAGACCTATTGGGAAATCAGCCCATCGAGACGGAACATGAGGGAAAAGCGATAAAATTCAGAGGACAATTAAAGGGAGGAAGTTAAGAAGTCAAGGTGAATAAGTGAATATTTAGAACCAGTTTCCACAATTAGGCCGTTTCGCCTAAGGTCTCTAGACACTAAGTTAGTAGGTCTTCAGCTCCAAACCCTAACAGACGGCGTACACTACCGTGACTGAATGAGGCTTTCAGTGCTCCTTTGACACACGATAGTCTGTCCACCTGTTTGCTCCACCCTGATCCTGGCGAGACAAATTAAACTTGCCTAGCTAGACGGTTCTGAGCATACGCAACACACGACCAGGCCAATATAACTGACGTGCCAACCTTTCAATCCAGCATCTGCTAGATGGCGTCCAGAACACCATGCGGTGTAGGTCAGCACTAGGACTTGCTTCTCTCACTACAAATGTGTAATACTGCTTAGATATCAACGGTCGAAAGCAAGTAGTCATCTCATATGTTCCGCGCAAAGTTGCCAAGTTCTATACACATACAACAGTACCGGTCGTGCTGCTCCGTCGGCAGCATTGCCAGCAGATGCGATCCAACTACCCGTATGAGTATACTTGATGACTAATTACACTTGTTGCGCTGCAACAAGATTGGATGGTGTGTTTGTCCAATTATGATGTATAACTTTACGACCTGGCGGGAGAAGAGGTATCCAAAACCAAAATTGGCGAGATATCAGTGAGATTTCCATTGAGAAGTAACTACACTCTCGAGGAGCTAAACGGTCTCAGTAATTCATACTTATACCGATTACATTTTTTTATTACCCAGATGTGAATCGCAGAGAAATGAGGAAGTGGTTAGACTCCCAGCAAACAACAGCAAAATGCAACACAAAATCATACATGAATTAACACAAACCTCAAAGTGGATGGCGAGTGATGAAAACTCGGTTTTTGAATAGTTGGAAGTTGAGTCAGCGAAGACAGAGTGGTAAAGAGTTCCAAAGACAGGATGCTATTGGATGAAAGATGGAGGCAAACAGTTATATAGAGCGCGGCAGTGACTTGGCACGGGTGACTAGATGAGTAAAGACGTGTCACTCCATAGAAAGATAAGCAAAAGGACAGATGCAAGCCCCGAAGCACATTTCCCATGGTGGCAACGGCTGAATAAAGCACAAGACGTTACGTTCCGAAGGTGTTTGCGGGTTACAAGTTGATAACGAGGTGTTGGTGGGACGTAAAATTTTATGTTAGATAATATAAAGAGCATGGCAACCGTATTCCGGAGTAGGCCAAATTTGAGATTTATAAGGGAGAATTTGGGTAGGGTGAAGTATGCGTGCCCGAAAAAGGAAAAAAACTTTCCTAGATGCTCGCACCGCGAGGACCTTGACATGTAAAGGTGTCATTAAAAGACTGGCCAGGAGGAGTGAACAATGAAGGACGAAAAATTGTAGAGATGCTACCAAAAGATTTGGATTAGGAATAGGGTTGCAAAAGATGGCTACATGCAGGAATATGGAACGGTTGAGCACTGCTGAGTTCGACGAGCCCCAGTCGAGAATGCCAGCCAGGAAGGTGTTTAGGGTAGTAATGGCTTGTGTCTGGTTATCGTAGTCAAGGTGAAGGAGGACGCCGGGAGGACAGAGAGAAGTGCACAGTGGTGTCGCCTGCGAAGGTATGGTTAGAGGGGGCAACAGCAGACAAGAGCAGAAGAACAGCGTTGGGGAGAGCATAGGTCCTTGGGGAGTCCCAGCAGTGGTCTCCTGAATCTGGGAGTTAACACCGTCCATTCGCAGTTGCATAGAGCGGTTGTGCAGGAACTTTCAGTTAAAGTGATCAAGTTTGTTGGTGCATGTAAATGGGCAACATACCAAGATACCTACGATATACCGAAACCACATTCGTTTCACAGAGTCCGAGGGGGAAACAAAACGTCTGAAACGCGTACCAACGTATCATGCGCAGAAAGGCGGCGTCTAGACCATATTTCTAGTAATCCAAAAGGGGGTTGTTTTCAAGGCCGCAGGTTAGTTTGGCCAAAGGTGCATCAGGAACTCCTGACAAAATGAGGAAAATGGAGATGGGCCCCAATTAGCTGAGGTCGGAAATGGGGTAACGCTTTACAATGGAGAGGATAAATGAGTTTTATACTCTCAAGGAGAGACACCAGTCGTTGATTTGAGGGAGCTCTGAAATGACTGGAGTTCAGGAGTGTATTCACGAAACTAAGTGGGTGGAGTACCATCAAACCAGGTGGTTCGGGGATTTCGAGCTCCGACAGGAGACGGCGGACACTCCTTGTGGTGGTGATCGGCAAAGGTAGGTGAATCAAAGAGGATGGCCCAAAATAATGGGCAGCTTCCAACTCAGTAAGGGCCGTCAATCCGACAGCTATAAATGTGCAAAGCTCTTCACTCCACTACACTTGACACAATCACATACCACGAGAACCAGTGGTTCCAACCAAAACCTGACAAAATTCAGACAACCTGAACTTGGAATCACCTCTCGCCATAAAGTCCCTCGTTCGGTACCACAGGCAAACAAGAGAAGACAGAGTAAGTTTCGACTGCCTCAACGATTCTGTCTGCTGACTAGCCGGCCACCCGGCAACTCAAACAGAGACAATACTTTGAAACCTGTCAGTGACTCACAACCACAACACCATAATGGCATTCACTCTCCACTCATCTGAAAGCCCAGGCTTACAGAGGCGCTCCGAATCATCACAAACACGGATCACTCAGTGACTGCTACTGACTGATTTCAACTCTCTGTTGTGGACAAGTTTTTGAAGAACAGCTTCAGACCCTCATCCACTTTGGTCTTCTGTTCGACCAAATGGACCTTCCACTTTGCCTTTGCGAATTTACTCCCCAGTTTTTGCTGGATCCCCAAATGCAAACTGACACCTTGCCATGGTCATCAGGAGTCAGTGCTGCGATGATCTAGTGGGACATACTGGCTGGAACTCAGAACCTCAAAGTTCAATAAGGTAAATCAGAATATATCCTAGTTAAAATCAAAGGGTCTGTTCCACATTGCCGCTTTTAACATCCGTATTGTCTCAAACTGGGTTACAGGTAAATCTTGCTCAGATTTTGTTCCATCTTCTGAGAGATGTATTTTGTCTTCAAAACACTCACGCAAGGTTCCAGTTCAGTAATGCACATCAAAACACTTGGGACGAATCCAGATTTATCGGATTACATTCTCCGAGTGTCTGGCGTTTCTGATGCAATGACTCGTGGTATTTACTGCGTGGATATTTTGCTTAGCCCAAGGGCTAAGGGCGCCTTACCGGACTGGATTCCAGTAAACAGTCGTGCTTGCGCTGTTATGTTGGCTGGTTCAACCAACATCATTGCACCTTGACGAGATAAACTGTGTTTGCTTGTTGTATCAGCATATGCTCTGAAAAAACGGCAGCTCTGCGGCTAAGGAACACATCTATCGAGATTTGTCATGATTTCTCCGGTTTGCGAAAAGTACATATATACAGATTCTGACAGGTGATATGAATGCTCGGGTTGGCTGATTAAGTCCTGATGAAGCCCTTCTTGGTGACCGATTCGTAGTTGACGCCCACCGCACAAATGATGGGGAACAACTTTGTTGATATGCTGGACATCATTTGTTTCCATCCAGCACGAAATCTTAGTACACGTGCCGTGGACTTAATTGAAACATATGGCAATCAGTAACCGGTGGAGAGCTTCGACACAAGATCGCCGTATAGTGCTGGTATGTTTATCTATCTAATTCCTTTCTGGAATGTGCCTGTTGACGCAAAGGCACCCGCGAAGCCTATCTGTGGATAAAAAACATCGAACCGAGTTGGATGAGAAGCTCTCAGAACTTAAAGCGAACAATAGTGATTTGGATGACAACTGGAGAAAGGCCAAGGCCATTCTGATGGCCTTTGCTACTGAGAACCGAGGTCACTCGCACAACCCAATGAACACTGGATTGGTCAAGCTTTGATTGAAGCCGGAAAAACTAAGCCAACAACAAACAACTGCAACAGTAGGTGCAGGTCCCTAAAACGCCAAGTAGTGAGGGCTGGTGGATTGCAAAAGCCCGAGAAATAGAGAAGGCTTTTGCGACGGGAAGCAATCGTACGCTGTTCCGGGTAATCCGATTAACTAGTCCGAGGGTAAGTGTCAGTGAAGACACTCCCGGAAAGAATAGGACCCCAGTCCATTCACGGAAACGTCTTCTTGAACAATGGCCTGGAGGACCGTCAGCTGGAGACTATCAACTTATCCTCTAAGACTGAGTCCGAGTGGGACCTGGACACCAGGTCACGACCGTCGACTGAAGTTAAGCCTACAATTCCGTTCCTTTTGCGGACCAAAGCATCTAGACATACTGCGTCTTTCAAACTAGCCCTAGCAGCACACGCGGGCCAAAATAACCGAGTTTTCCGGTTATACGACGGTTATATAACCGCCAAATAACCACCTTTTATGGTTAACAGATGGCTGTTTGCACCGTCAAACAACCGTGTTTTCCGGTTATTGCTCGGTTAAATAACTGTCAAATAACCATGTTTGCTGGTTATTGCTCGGTTAAATAACCGTCAAATAACTGTTTGCCGGTTATTGCTCGGTTAAATAACCGTCAAATAACTGTTTGCCGGTTATTGCTCGGTTAAATAACCGTCAAATAACTGTTTGCCGGTTATTGCTCGGTTAAATAACCGTCAAATAACTGTTTGCCGGTTATTGCTCGGTTAAATAACCGTCAAATAACTGTTTGCCGGTTATTGCTCGGTTAAATAACCGTCAAATAACTGTTTGCCGGTTATTGCTCGGTTAAATAACCGTCAAATAACTGTTTGCCGGTTATTGCTCGGTTAAATAACCGTCAAATAACTGTTTGCCGGTTATTGCTCGGTTAAATAACCGTCAAATAACTGTTTGCCGGTTATTGCTCGGTTAAATAACCGTCAAATAACTGTTTTCCGGTTATCGCTCGGTTAAGTGACCGTGTTTCCTGGTGGTCGGACATCATTAGACTGCGGTAAATAATGGTGAAATCACCACCATGTTACCGTAACTCGCTGTTATTAGACCTATTCAATCGCGTTATTACAGCTTAACACCGTATACGTAACTACGCATCAACGTTACGACCTACACTGGTAACCACACGGTTAAGCGTGCATATCGTCGTACCCGCTAATTTACTGACCGGAAGGCCCATGGTTTGAGCCCGACCTCTGTCTCTCGACTTTCCCTGCAGTATCCCAGCACTCATGCTCTCTTCCGGTGGCATGGTAGTTGGGCATCGAAAGGGTACTATAGTTGGATGATAACCTGATTTCCGATTGCCCAGTTAGGCAATACTGCAAACAAGAAGCCACTGACCCAAACGACCCCGAGCCAATCAGATACAGGACCAATCACGGATTCACGGATCGACACCGCCTAAATTCTAAAGCATATTCCCTCTGAAAGCATAGCTTGGACGAAGAAAACTTTCACACAAAGTTTTAACACTCGGAAGGATTTATCAGAAATTTAAGAATCATCGAAATCACAGTTCTCTGAAAATGCGTTCAAGCGTACTAATGGCCTGTACAGCGCGGTAGGTTCGAAATCGGTTTCGTTTTTCCCTCGTGCAAATTCGTGAAAAAAAAATTTCGTTGTTCAATCTATTCACAGGGTACACACGAGTAATTGTTGAATTTTAAAACTCTAACAAAACATTTGAGTGATAANATTTGAGTGATAACCCTTTATATTTTGCGCACACCTATTTTACATCTAGTCCGAAACATGACATCAATTTATACCGATTGCCCTCCGGAGCCACTGATAGACCACAATGGATGTGGGCGAAATGGCCGCCCGTCGAACGTCAAACGCGGTATGCAATGCCACGCCTGCAAGGCCTGGTGGCATTTCAAATGCACGAGTTTACAGGACGACCAGATAAGCCGACTAGCCAACTCCCCTGACCCGTTTGTCTGTGCCAGCCGCCCCTACGTCAAGGGTGCAATGCATACCGCAGCGGAGAGAATATTCCCCCGAAACGGTATCAAATCCCCAGTGCAGATCCCGA